ATCCCTACAAGACATCTGATACTAATGAATTGACGGGAGGTACCGGAAGTTACTTGTGGCTCATTCCACCGGTGGAGAAGTACGCTTCTAACACATTATTGTAGATGTCGCTCAGCTGAAGAGGGAAAATAACAGTCTTGGGGCCTGGTTACATGAGCCGGGCTGGCCGTGTTAGCCGGGCTGATTTCTTTTGTTTTGGTGTTCGCCAAAGCGTGAAAACAAAAGAAATCAGCCCTGCTAACCGGGCCAGCTCGGCTCATGTAATCAGGCCCTTAAGGTTACTTCCCAACTTCAGAGGCCAAAAAAATCGTTTTTTCTTATATTGGACTAGATTGAAGTTAGACATTTTACCTAACGTTTACAAAAAAAATTAAAAATCTCAAAAAGCGTCCGACTTATTTAGGAAAACGTATATTCAAGTAAAAGTTAATAAATCAGAATTCCCCTGGGGGAATATTCGCGGCAATTTCGCATATTTAGTTAATATCTTGCACTTGACGAAATTCACATGTGGAAGTTATCTGCTTGTGGAAAGTCTCTTCTCATGGATAAAAAACAGAAATAAAAAAACAAAGCGGAGTTCTTGTGCAATTCAAAGAAAAAGGAAAAAACAGGCCCAAAGAAGAGAGAAATGGTACCATTTTGGCAGGAAAAAAAACCAGTCCTTGCTGAAAAGGACGAAGGCTCTTGATTTGACATTCGATTTGCGAACAAAGAAGTCGCTATCGTGCTCAAAGTGTCAATTTTTGTTGCAAATCATCATTCAGAAAGTAATATTATCAAATGAATGAAAGTAGTTCACACAACGTTTACTGCACTAAACTGTCAGAATAAGAAGGGTAATAAGGAAATTAATTTTTCAAAAAGTCAATTTCCGTTTAGCAGTTAGTAGAGTTACACACACAGTTATGACCTAATTGTTAATTGACCTTGTGATGTAGTATAATTGGATTGAAAAGCAAAACAAGGTGTAATTTCTTTTTTTTGTTTTAATGTTAGAACAACATCAATTTTTACAAGTTAATTAAGTATCCCAAGTCTTATTTCGAGAAAAATCTTGAACAATCACAGATGGCATAAACTGATCCCACAACTAGCCCAACTTTGGATCGCTTATGGAAGGTTTTAAAGTATTGTGGAACCTAGTTTCCCTTGACTTGCGAATATGATCAACTGAACACAACCTTCTCTCTCTTTTTAGCCTGTCGCGGCCACAGACTCTCGGCCTTAGGCAGGCGAGGATAAATGTTAGTAAGTTAGGGGAGTAATTTTTAAAAACACCAATCATCTGTTCATTTATTTATTTACGAATATTTAGACAGGGTAGCCCAGTCCAGCAAATAGCTGGTTTAAATGGGGGCCTGTGAAACAATAACACCATCCCACCCGGAGAGGACATCCACCACACAGTAATCTCGGGCGTGGGAAATTAACATCTTCTACCCCTAGCCCTGCAAGAGACGGGGCCTATGGTTTATTCGTCCCTATCCGAGAAGACTAGAATATCTATCCATTTCTTGATATCATAGAAAGGTAGCAAATTTTAAGACCATGAGTATTGGTCCGGCCGAGACTCGAACCCTCGAACTCCCGCACAACACAATCTGGCGCTCTAACCAATTGAGCTAACCGGGGAGTGGTTTCAAATGTCGTTTACGTGTTTTTGGGGGGGCTGTTTGAAAATGCACTATGTCTAAACCTATAATAAGTACAGAGAAACCGATTGTTCAACGAATAAAGAGCATGATTGTCGCATAGATATAATACATATGCGTTGCTAACCGCGTGTGAGGTTTAGATAGCTGGATATTAGCCTCGTTACACAATGTTGCTTCTTGAGCGTTGATTACATTGAAATGGGGGAGGAGGGAGTGAAAAACTGTTCTGTGATGCCTAACTTAGTGGAAATCAACCAAGTGTTTCGACAGTTTTGAAAAGTTTGCCCCCCTTCCGTTTTTCTATTATGGGGGGGGGGCACACTAAGTTATATTTTCATAGCGACTGTTTCTGGTGTGTCGGTCTGAGTTTCTCGTTAAAAGTTCTGTTATATAGCTCGGACAATTATTTTCATCTTTGATGCGCCTAAATATTAAACTAGTCCTTTTAAGGTTTAATTCTTCCTCAAGTGGCAGCCAATCGAGTCGTCTAAAAAGCATCTCGCTTCTTTCGCCGATATCAGCATCCAAGATTATCCGTAAGAGCTTTCATTGTGAATACTCTCAAACAATTTGTTCGTTGCAAAACGGCAAGCGAAGTTTTGAGTCCAACTACAAAAACGCTTCGGTAAGTCTGTTCAATTCGGACAATTCTACAGTAAATTGCACAGCAAAACCGAAGAGATTCCATGAGAAAAAACTGCATTAAATCCCCTTGTGTCTCAGTAGTTAGTGTCTCATTCGACTACGTTTTTGGTGGGAGAAAGACCTACAAATTTTACATGCCATGGCCGTAAACAAACGAGCCTCCTCACTGCATGATTGTACCTACAGTCGTTATCCATAATCTTTCTTTTAAAGTCTTTTCCCTAAATCTGTCAATTTAAATATAAATTTCGCCCTTCAGGTGGTATTACACAAATCAGTAGATTCTTTCGCATTCAAATATGAAATAATTCATTTTTAATGGTTCCTTTTTTGACTGTTTTACTTTTCTAGTGCACATTATTTACGTTAAAACTTTAGGCGATTAAGATTCATGATACCTTTACTGTATCTGTTGCATGGGCCTAGCGTAAGTGAAAACTGTAGTCTGACAAATCTCTCGGTTTAAAAGAGGATTTAAAGAGTAAGGACCAATTTTATCTCGCCTCTTGTTCAGTATGCATGGGGTCTTTGCATGAATGTCTTTTAGCCTTTCCCTTACCAAAACGTCTCTGTGGATTCTACTGAAACATTTCAAATTGGAATCAAGAATTGAATTTTCTTTCTTTTATTTAAGCAACGAGTAGATGTGTTCTTCGGGACTTTCCCGGAGTTAAACAAAAGCCTCTAGTTGATCTTAATTCAAGCGGAACAATAAACATTGCGTTCAAAATACTAGACCTTTGAAAACACTTATTGTTCCACTCAGTCAGAACTTTAGGAATGTATTAACAATCGGTAGGAAAAATAACACCTGGAAAACCACGCGGTTAAATTGTCTGCAGCGTGGTTTGCAAAGACAAAACACTTGATGTGTGCATACAATTTTAACCTCGAGAAAAAATAACGCGGTTTTAGAGCATCAAAAGAGAAAACAAACAAATAAAAGGGTTAAAATAAACTTCAAAAGGAAGAGAATGGTTAAGTAACGCAAGATAAACAAGAACTCCAAAAGTAATTAAGAAATTCACTCAACCATAACTGATCAGTGGAACTTGCGGAACAAACTATTCAGCGTATCAAGTTGTAAAAACGTTTTAAGAACAATTTGCGTCGTGTAGCTGGCATCTGATTCTGACGATTTCGTTGATTTCTCATTAAAAACATCCACCCTCCATAGAAATTGTTCAGTAGATCTCTGGGTACAGTGTATTGAATTATGGATAAATTCTGCGACGATTTGTTCGAGTCTGTGACAGGAGTCTGTCAATCAGTAGCCTGACAAGCAAACGAGTTATTATTAGATAGAACTTGTCATCAAAAACCTCGTGGGTGACCTTGGAGAACATAAATCAACTATTTTATGTCCTTGAAGAAAAATCATAGGCTGATTAGATGATAGGCTTGCCCAGTGCACAAAAGCAGACAAAAAAGTACCAGCAACTAACTCAGCGGCCAATATCAAGGCACTTCTCTTTTGCATTTTTCCTTGAAAGAAAAAGATCGTTGGAACTTCTAATGAGACTCATAAAACTTTGTTAGTAAAGTAATAGTAACTGCTTATGGCAGTTGAATTAAAGCCAGAAGATGTTTCCTTTATAGGACTAATCTGTTTTGCGTTCGTCTGGAGAAAAACTCTGGATGCCAGGTCAGATATATGCACGTTGCAATTTTTTGCTTGCGGTGTACACCCCAATGGATTTTTTGTTTAATTTAGTCCCATCCCTATTGGAGGAATACATCTTGGACATGTGGAGTTTCATTCACCAAGTGGATTCAGACTAACTGCATGAGTAAAAAATAGAAAAAGAGAAATTTGCTGTAGAAGAACGAGCAAAGTCACTGACTGACTGACTTCGCAAGGTGAAAACTATTATTCCATGGGCCAGTATGTAGGATAACACAGTGCTGACTTGACAGAGTTTAGTAGTTTCTCACAGGAGCTAAAGCCAAAGAACTTTGAAGCTACTCTGCGAAAATGATCAATCTCACAGCATTTGCTTTGACTTCCATTTTTTTATACCCATTTCCCTGTTCGAGCGAAGACATTCCGTCGGTCTTTGATTTAATAGGTAGACTGAATGTACAGCTTTTACGCAATGGTCCTCAAGATCACTGACTGTACCGTCTTAGGTTGTGATCATGCCTTGTCATAAGAAACTTGGTCTTGGAGGCGCGGTAGTCGTTCAGAACATTAAGAATGACCTCAGGTTATCGAGCTGCAAATTGTTTTTTGAATTGTCAAGTTTCAATATTTCTTAAAGTTTTCCTAACGTTTGCTGGGGTCCAATGAAGAGCAAAGTTGCTACGGACAGTAGCATTTTACTTAAGCACCAAGGACTTTCGACCTGTCTTTTGTCAGTCTGCTTTAAGGAGGCTCCTGGGAATTTTGACCACGCGAGGACTGAACGCCAAAAAAAAGCGCGAGCTCCAAAAATGTCCCCAAGCAAAACAAGCTTGGCGACGATTGATATTTAGAAATCGTGTTAAAACAACATAAAACTATACAGGTTTTATATAATGGACTCTAATGAGGGTTTCCAGAAACTATGCTCATTATATGGGCCCTCTAAGCCTGAAAATACGGTGCGAAAAAATGGCAGCCGTACTGTTTAGGCGTATCGTACAACGCCACAAGATCAATAATCTGGGAAACCATCTCGTTGGCTACTTTTGAGAGGCAAACACTCACTAACAGAATAGAAATTAAGACTGATTTTTATTGACATCCTCACAGATATTATTGGTGTTGGTTAACTAGTGAAAAGACAAATTTGAAATCGACTACAATTCTCTAATTTCTATACTACTTCCTCAAAAAAATTATTCCCCCCCAAACAAAATAGAAAAAAATTGCTATAGAGCTCAAAGATATGTCTCGCAACTCCGCTTTTGTTTAATGCACGGTAGCAGTACCGCACTGCAAGTGAAATTTCTAATTCTTTGCCAATCAGAGGCCAGAACATTGAGACAACAATTCTGCGATATATTTGCGTCTCTGTCGGTGGTTCTTATAAACATGCACTTTATATAACGACAAAATAAGTGGTAGACTTCAGCTTGTCATGCGAAGCTTTTCGTTTGGTAATCACATTTCAAAAGTGAAAATCAGATTTCCGCGCGAAGATCCAGAAGCCATTCCTGCAGCTTGCGTCCTGCAACGAAATGAACCGCAAATAATAAGGATCAGCGCAAGACAGAAAGAAAGAAAGCGAAGAAAAGTATGCATGAAAAACGACATGTCGTAGCCTCAGTCGGCTACTCGATCGTCTTTATGAATATCTCTTTAAATATTTCGTTTCTAATAGAATTTTGATAAAATGTAAATTTATGCATTTCAACTATTCACAGCATCATGATAAACAAATGCCGTGAAGAGAACTTCGATTGATAAAAATCCTGATTAGCGGGTAATTAACTGGTTGGTCATTTTAAAAGAAATGTGGAATGTAAACAGGAATGGGACCTGAATGACTGAGCGAGGTTTTCGAGCCTGTGATTCGAGTAGCACCCGATTTACCCAAATTTTATGCTTCGCCATATGCAGCTTCAGTCTGGAATTACCCTTTTCTCCTCTTAGCCTCCTATCGTGAGACTATGAGGCTTAACACTGGTCAGTTATTCCAGAAAGTTATATTTGTTCTCAATCTGTGTACTTCCAACACATATTCTATACAATGTGTTATTAGCTTGTATATAGCCGGGAATCATAGAAAACTGTGTCTCTTTTCATTCACAAGTCCGGCTAATCGGTTCAGTCCTGTGCGAGTTTCGTTTGGCTCCTGGAGGATATGGAATATTTCATCAAACCGAGGTTTGAATTCAAAACGAAACACAAATGCTGGCCAGTTAAAATTTTTTTGTGCTAAGACATAAGAACTTACGAGTGATTGCATTCCATTACGGTATCGGCGGGTGACTTCTCTCGCATTCAGTGTAGGAGATTCCACAGTTTCAGTGATCCGATCGTTTACTCAAAACTGATAGTATTTATTTTTACATGAGTTAACTATACCAAGGAAAACCTTTGCAAAGTGAAGGGTTTGTTCTATTGCCTTGGTTTTTGGTATTCTTTTCTTGTAAATGTATTTGTTTATGCATTCGTTTGTTCGTATGTTTTCTCGATCTTTCTCTTGGAATGTTGTTGTGTCACTTTCATTTGTTTAGTTACTTGACTGGTTGTCCGCTTTTTCTTTTTTTTGTGTGTGCGTGTTTTAAGTTTCACTTTTGAGTTTGTCTTTGTTTCTTGTTGGTTTTTATTCTTATTTTTCTCAATTTTCTCGCATCCTCAAGACCTACTCATTTCTAAGTTAAAAAATAAAGTCATGTTTTGCCGGTGCAGAAAGGTGCATTTGTTATGTCCTGCTCAGTAGCCATTAGATTTAAAAAAAAAAAGACATAGAGAATTAATATGGTCGCGGCTGTAGTTATGAAAGAATTTCGCTCGTAGCTAATACGGTGGTATTTTCTGAGCACTGGGAGATATATGGTATTAGTTTGGACGAGCTAGTAAGAAAAGCAGGTCACAAATTGATTAATGATTAAAATGATTTTGTAAAAGTGAGGGGTAAAATTACTATCGTAATGAAATTTTGCAGTTGTTTGAGCTAATTTTGAGAACTAGTTTGAAGTTGCCCGAACAACGGATGTCGGCATATTGGGCACTTTCGGCTGCGGAAAAAAAAAATATATATGAGACTAGTGAGTATTACTAATTCATTTGTAAGAAAAGACAGCCATCGACGGTGGTCTGCAAGTGATCTTCTAATTGAAAGTAAAATGTGGTACTGGTGTATTTTAAAACACGGATTCAGAGTCAAAACTGCGGATCCGAAAAAGTATATCTACGAATCCAAAATCAAAACTACAGATCCGAAGTTATAACTTTGGATCTGCAGTTTCAACTTTTGCACCAATATCCTTTTTTTTTTTTTTGGCATTTAGAATGGCACTTACAGGTCGCCTTAGTTATCACATGACATGCAATAAACAGAACTTCTTCAGTCAAGAACAAGAAGACAAAACATTGAATCAAAGTAGAGCTCAAAAGCAAAAAAATTAAAAAAAGGCACAACACTTACTACGATACTTCTACTCTACATGTCTTATAGGTTGTTTAAACAACAACAAAGATGCCTTACACATGAGGTTTTTAAGATTTTAGTACTAAAACAGTTTAAAGGGGAAATTAAATGGCTACTTCGCCCATGAACTGAACTGAAGACTGATAGAAATATGGAAACCAACAAACTTGCCTTTCAGCCTCTATAAGGTTGAGCCAGTAACTTAGTAAGTTTCCAAGCCATTGGTACAATGCGATGGTATGATCTACCCGGGGATTTCCAGGAGGTGTTGAACGAAAATAAAATGTTTTAATAATATACTTACACGCCATTTTGTATCATTGCAATCGCACAGTCTTTGTGAACCTTGTGAGAGCATGGGAGAATTTGACAACCACTGAAGGCGTCCTATAGACAAAACAAAAAGGAAGATATACAAAAATAATCTCAGAAAGGATTATTTCAAATGCTCCTGGCGTTAAAGTATTGATGAGAAGGTGCTATAAATTCCTGAGAAATAATCGCAGCCAGATTGACATGGTATGTCGACTGAAACCAACCTGGGATGTTTTCTTTCGCTATGTTAAATGCAAAAAAAAAAAAAAGATCACAGGTTTCGTATGTACTCCGGGAGTCTTCCCGTTGGTACTGATTATCAAGGGAAATTGTGATTATTGGTAAATATATGCTTTCGTTGAGAAAGAGATGAAGACCAGGATTTACTGTTATTAGCATCAACCCATGTAAAGTTACTAAGTTGAGTCAGAAGTAGTCTGAGTCCCGCGCCCCCTTGGGGTAAAGGGAAGAGACGGCTGAAATTCAGACTAAGTCAGAAGCTGATTGAAAGTATACAAAGAGTTAAGCTGTCAAAGAAAAACAATAAACAAGTTCATCGGTGTACCCAAACCTATCACAGTTAAGACAGAAAAGGCAACACTTTTTAAATCAACTTAAGATTATTTTAAGATCTTTGCATTACATGACTAATTTTGGAATTAATTTCATTAATTGTTATTAGCAGTATCATTATAGATTATTCTATCTTTAAGCCTAAGTCAGTTCGGTATTAAAGTGTGATAAAAATTAAAATGTGACTTTATCAAGTAGCAGGAAGCAGTTTAAAATAAAAGCCAAACCAAAAATAAATAAAAGGATACTTAAAATATACACATAACAAAAAAATCCTTTGAGCATTTGATTACAGATAAGTTTGTTTAGAATACTATTATAAATACTTCACCTCAAGACATATACAACATTCATCGTGTCCAGAATCAGGTCTGCACTTGTGTTTTCCTTCAAGACGTTTGTCCAGGCATACGTTACAAACATCGCAGTGGAAGGATCTGTCTCGATGGATCCTATCAAAACATTTAAAGTTAGCAATAGAGAGTCAAATCTCTTACTTTTAATCTCGCATTTTTTAGTACAGGAGTGTTCCACAAAACCTAAACTGATGGAAACGACATAACCTTGTCCAGATTTACGTGAGTTGGTAGAATTTTTGCTTCCCAACCTATTGGATGAAGAGCTACTTCGTAACAAAGAATCAGTGTAGGCACACTTCAAAGTACAAAAGAGTTGAGGTGATACTCCAATCGTCTCAAGTCGGAGACAGGATGATACCTTGTATAGAATGCAAGATCCTCCAGATCTCTTTATTTGTCTCGTTTTGTAAGTGTATACGTCATGCAGAAATTCATTTTATCATCTTACCTACAGATACCGCATTTTTCGCAGTGGAAGGGATTTTTATCCATGGAGGTATAATGGCGACATGTTGAGCAGAAATATTCAGACATGATTGCGTTGCAGCCGCCACATCTCTGGCTATTTTCATCGATCTGAAATTAATGAAAGAAACAAGGGTGCTAAATTTTTTTTTTCGTTCGGGACACTAAGCTCGATCAGCTGTTCTTGATTAAGATTAGCTTATATTAGGGTGAGGTGTTATCGTCCTAGATAACCTATTTTAACAAGAGAAGCAAAAGCCAAAGGATTATAAACAAGAATCTTACCTCTTGCTCGTGATAGCAGATAGTGCATCGTATGTGTGTGGCATTAATTGCTCTCGCCTGATCCTCACTACAATCTGACTCGTTGTGACAGCGGTGGCATGGGAAGAACTTTCCACAGCAGGGAAACCGAACCAAGCATCGGCGTTGATAATGACTGCAAACCGGGCGTGGACTTTCTTGTACAGGTGTTGCCATAGGTTGCCGCTCGGCTTCTATTGTCGTTTCATTTGATGGGGTAGATTCTACTTGAGTATTCGTCTCGTTAACTTGTTGTGTTACGTCTAGTTCCCCTCCACCCATATTGCCCGTTTCTTCTTGTACGCCTGTCTTTTCGACTGACTGGTTTGCGGGTTGAGTTTCCCCCGCGCCCGTAGCATTTGAGACAACAAGCCGAATAGTCTTGTTCATTATCTCTTGAAGACATCTAAAACTAGAGGCCAGTGAATGTTCTGTTGATGGATGCTCATTCTCACTGAATGGTAGCGACTGCCCACATTCATCGTTAGCTATACTGCTGGAGTATTCATTAGCCATTGAATCCATGTCGTTGTAAGCGCATACCGATCTACACGTATTGAAGAGTTTCTCACGGTTAGCATCAAAAGATTTTGGCAGCGATGTTGGATTTGACTCGTTTTTCCTCTCGGCAAAGCATTGACTTCGCGGCACCCTATCTTCCCAGGACTCCGAGGATGGAAAATGCCAGCTCTCTTTATCATTTCCGTCAGGTGGCGATACTTGATTAAAACTAAAGTTTTTGGTTACTGACGCGTTATATACAGGAACACTCATATTATATTTTTGGGTTATATCGTGTGGAATGAACTCTTTCTTGTCGGGTGAATTCTGACCTTTGCCTTTTAAGACTTGGTCATGAGCATTAGATGAAGAGTACTCCTGTTCGTAATCTTCCTGCCGCGGACCGTCTAATGAAGCAAGATTATAGTTGCCCCCGTAGTGAAACGAAGGAAATGGGCTACTCTCTTTGACGTGACGTGTCATAATTATAGGATCTTCGTCCGGATTTTCTAATTCGAAGTCACAGTAAGCTGAAACTGGATTTGTAACGCTGGGCCATGGTAAGGGGCATTTGGCATTATCTGTTGATCTCTGTTTGGGTCTTGCTCCCCCGTCGTACGAGTGAGATTCAAAGAGGTCAGTCTTACTTTTAAGAGGATATCTGTGTTCGCAGAGCGCATCTCTATCTGTATGTGACTCGTTTTCGCTACATGAGATTACACGTTTGTGCCTCATGTCGGCTGTGAACCTCTCGCCAGCATTAAATGCCTTGATTGGATTTTGTGTCAGTGCTGGTCCATCTCCAGTATCAAAGTTATTAAGATTGTCTTCATTGCTTTCGCCGTCAGCAACAACATCGCCCCCTTGACATATCGATCTGGTGCTAGTTTCATAGTGGTTTGAGATAGTGGCTTGTGAATTGACATGTATCTGGCCGTATGAATTTATTGGGTCTATTACTCTTGAGCCTTGGTTTAAAGATTGCGTTCCATTTTCTTCTTTTGATTTGGGCCCGTCAACGAAATCTGTCTGTCTTGGAAAATCTACCACGTTACTCTGATTACTTCCGAGTGCTTCAAATGTTCTCCCTGTTGTCATCTCTTTATGATCAGAACAAGAAGTGCCTTGCTTTTCTAGTGTATTGTTTTTTCTTCCTGTGATTTCCGCCCCACTTCGTTCCCTGCCTTCAAGGTCTTGTTTTCTAATGTTAAATTTACTTACATCAGGCTTCGTTTGTCTTTGCCCCTCTAGATCAACTCCGATAGCATCTTCTACCTCGTGGTTAGGTATGAACACAAAGTCAAGATTGTCCTTGTCAGAATGTTTGGCAAGAACTGATGCATCAACAGCAAGGTCCTTGTGGCTTTCGCCGTCAGTAACATCACCCCCTTGACACAAGAATCTAGGGATAGTTTTATTGCAGATTGAGATGGTGGCTATTGACTTGGAATGTATGGTTAGTTCTCTTTTTTTCGTAGAATGCATTCCATTTTCCTCTAGTAGGTTTGGCCCATCCACACTATGCGTCTCATTTAAAAGATCAACCACGTTATTTTGGCTTTCCCTGGTACCGTTGTTCATGGATCCAACTGGGAAAACTTCTCCAGCAACTGAACCAAATGTTTTCAATGTCGCCTTGTCGTCATAATCTGGACGAGGAGTTTCTTGATTTTCCGGTGTATTGGTTCCATATGCTGCGATTTCCACCTCATTTCGTTCGCTTCCTTCCCCAATGTGTTGTTTTCTCCTTTTAAAATTATCTATGCTGGGTTTCGCCTGCCTTTCCTCTTTTTCATCAACTCTTAAAGTGTCTTGTACCTCTTGGCTACGTGAGGGGGTCTGCCTGTTGGTTTTAATAGTGCTTTGCGTGCTTGAACGAACATCATTTCTCGCTGTCTCTACGTTCTCAGCGTACGGCTTTCTTTCCAAAAGGCTAGAGCCGTCACTTTTTTTGGAGGCTGCGAGGGGGGTCTCTTTTTCCAGCGTTGTTTTAAGCAAGCGGCTACTTACGTCCTCGAAGTTGTTACGATGTCCTACGTTGTTAGGGGCTGGGCTTTGTGGTGAAGGCTGTTTTGTCATGAGTTTGTCATCTTCCTTAGCCGTCTTGCCCTCCAGTGAACTAATCCTATGGCTATTTTCCTGAGTACTAACATTTCTGGAAGTGGGAGTTGGGCTTGGTTCCTGGGCCTCTGGATTTTCATGCGGAACCTCCAAATTACCACAGTTGCTATCATTTTGCATATGGCTTGACTGCAACTTTGAAACATCATATGGGTCTGCTCTGTTGGATTGAATTGACTCACCTTTATTGGAGTTCAGTTGGCCTTGTTGCTTATCCTTCAAGCTTTTTTGCAAGTCAGCCATAAAAAAACGTCTTGACTTTCTATCGTCTTCAAATAGACGTTTCCCCTCCAATATCTCACAAACGTCTTCTCTGGGCATGGATTCGTCACCATGGTTACTTTTGCTAGTCTCAACAGTGTTAATGTTAGGAACGTTCAACGTACGCTTATTATTTTCATTTCCTTCTGAACTCTCTGTCAAATGCTGATGTGTACTCGAAGTGTTTTCCTGGTCTTCCTGAGTTTGAAAGGAAGCAGCCAGACGTCTTGCGTCATCGTCACCCAGATCCTCCAAACTTACTTTATCCTCCCTGGAAATGCATTTCTCGTCTTCCAGACTTTCATGAGCATTATGACATTGATCCGGATCCGCCAGACAGATGTCATCGTGAGTCACTGGACTTTCCACGCTGTAAAGCAGTCGTGATATCTGGCTGACAGTCATGAGGCACTCTACAAGTTTCTCTCTTCTTTGTTTTTGCCTGTCTTCCACTTCGAATTCAGAAGGAACAGCCTGAAATAAAGTTTTTTTGCAAAGTAAATATAACAAAACTTTGCAAGGAGTTAAATATCAAAATATATGAATCTGACTTAAATCAGGTTTTTGTCGTTTGTATTTCTGTTGATCACAAGCAATGACATTGTACAAACTTAGGATGATTCACTCGCTACTTTCGTTTAATTTTTTTGGGCCCATAATCAGCATTGCCGTTTATGTCTCGTCGGTGTTGTCTAGAGTAGGTATGGCGTGAAGTGTATGACGCTTAATTCCATCATTCAAGTCAGCTCAGAGTTCATTGAGTCAATAAATAAAGCTCAATTTTAGTCTTCTTGATCAAATGTATGCAACTTCAATTTTAACAATCAAAAGAATGGCTCTTTTGACACTGCTTAGCACTCGGATAAGTTTTGATGAACGAGCCACAATCAGATAATTTTTGTATTCGATAAGTGACTTTAGCTTTTGAATATCCAAACATTCCATTCTGAATACTTTATGACTGGAAATGGCAATTGAAATCATATTTTGACCTGTACGTGATTACAAGCTACGCGATGAAATGCCAATAAAGAGATTGAAATAAAAAAAGACGAAGCCTGAGAAAATAGGGGTCATAAAGGCTTTTACGGGACTCGAACCCGTGTCTCCCGGTTGGACGCTACTACCAACTGGGCTACGGAGCCATACTATACAATTTTTCTCGACTTTCATTTTCTGCAATTTCCTCGACTTGTTCATTCTAACATAGCATTATGGAAAGGAAGGAAATATGATTATTTTCAGGCCGCGATTTCTGCATGGATTTCTGTTGTATTGCCTTTCAAGTTCCTTATTTACTACGTGAACAATTTCATTGACTTTGAGAATTCCTTTTCCTCATAAGGAGTTTCTATTTGTGTCCGCTATTTTTTGAAAAGTACTGTCAGCAATCAGATATATTACGTTGCTATCGCTCTTAAAGAAACGTGCTTGCTCTATTTCGAAAGAATTAAGGGTCATTAAAGTATGCGTTTATTTCTGATATTCTTTGTAGCTGTTCTCAGCTATTTGAACGGTAATAACTATCTAGTGAAAGTGAAGAACAGCTGCTTGCATATTTGAATTAGCTTAGATAGGGGACCAAGTAAAACGCAGAGATAATAAAACTTTAGAAAAAAGGACAAGAAGAGCAAAATAATACTAAGAAACAAAGAGATAACACTGTAAAGCCTTAGGGGCACCAGACTAAAGGGTGAGAAGCACACACACTGTTTACTCACAGAATAGTTTATTGACACTAATCAAATTTGACCTCAGATGACTGTAGCAACCTTAAATTCTCCGTCCGTATTACCGCAAATTATTTGCAAAATGGATTCTCTCAAATTCGGAATGAATAAACCATGCATCTCGCGGATGTTAGTTTGAATCGAAAGACGTTGCTTAGTAACAACACTTGTCCTCTGCACGGAAGTTAATTGCGCAGCCCTTAAACTGTGGATTGTCTAATCTTTAAGTGCCAAAAAAAGTATTCTTTGGTCCTAACTGGTATCAAATGTCAATTAACTGACACTAAAAAAGGGAGAATATTGCATACGTTCCAAACCTAAACTAACAGCAGCCACGAACGCAAGTTTTGTTCGTCAGTCATACCTTTACGCTTCTTTGCATCGGAACTTTTGAGAAAATTCCAACAAGCGTAGTTACAGAATTGATATCTTCCAATCTGCACTCTGGCAGTTCGTGCATGCCAATCCGTTCCGTCAACAATTTCGCATATTCGATCTAGGGACCAGTATCATCGCCATGTGTCAAGCGAAATTCCAAACTCTTTGTCTTTATCTTCTCTTAAGAAGTTCTCAAACCACTCCTTTGTTAACTGCTGCAAAGTTGCACCTGTAGTCGGATAACATCTCTTTAGGATGTCTACTGCTCTCGGCCATTTAATACAAGAACAGGACGTAATTAAGCCATTTCGCGACGAACTGCTCTTTAAGGATAAGTGCCAGAACAGTGCTTTTTTATGCCGTCCATCGTCATTCAAAGATGAAAAATGGACCTCCAAAGTTGACTGCTGTTAGAGCTAGGACACTTGCCTGAGATCTAAAGTACAGGGATGGAGCTAAATTGCCCCCTTCGAAATTCATTGCAGGTCCTCTCCTATTTCAAAATCTCGTCACGTTCAGACATGATCCAGAGTCGTGCCGTTAAGATTTGGTTACTTCCATGCGCACCTTTTTTCATACGGTAATGCTTGACTATTAGTTCAGTGTCATGAGTTCTCCTAGTTGAGATGATGGGGAATCTTAATTCTTGTGATATAGTCATCTCTCAATGAACATTGTGATCAAATTTTGAGTTTCATCCTAGCAAGTTGTTTTTATTCGGCAATTCTACCCCTCTGAAGGCTTCTTGTAACATAGCCGAAGACGTATTCAGTCTACTCTGGCGTAATTTTCGCTCCTCCATGACTTTACACGAAAACATCCTTCAGTGTGGACTTGTATCAACCTGGTTCAGATTGAAAAACTTTTCGCATGAAGAAAATTTCTGCCCTTTGTCAAAGACGGTCATCATTGTCCAGTCTTCTTGCCACTGATTGACTTGCTTCGCAAACTGTTGTCGTTTCTGTGTCTTCTAAATATATACCTGTTTCGGCGCAATAATCCAGCCCTTCGGTTCTCCTTTATTAATAAATTCAGGTTCGCTCCTCAATGTCGTCTATTTGGTCATATCTGTAATTGCATTCACTAGTGAGAAGAACTGCTAATCTTGTTAATCATTTATTGAGGGAGCGGTCATTCCAGTCTAATCCAGCAAACAACATTTGTCAAGGCCCACCCTCCACTCTGATTTAAATAGCGTCGGGACTCCGATTTGATTAAAGGTTCCCTTAGTGAAGACAAAACCGGTTTCAAATGTGTTTTCTATGAGAGTAAATACGTCTTCTTCAGGTAGTTAAGTTAGTCTTATTTGCTTCACATTTGGTAGTGGGTCCTTCTCAGTTTTAAATTCTGATGGTCAGTGCTAAATATGAATTTCTTCCTTTTAACCTTGTCCAACTTGATAAAATTTTGCGTAGCATAAATGTTTCTACTCTTCGTCAATGACGGTCATCACTGTCTTCTCTTCTTGTCACTGATTGCCTTGCTTCGCAATTTTTGTCAATTCTTAATCTGAATTCCTCTGATTGGAGCGTAACGCCATTGCTTGGGATTAGCCTAGTCTTTCAGTTAAGCCTGGCCCTGGTCTAGTCTTAACTAGTCTAGTCTTTAAACTAGTCTGTAGAACGTATCAGTCTCGTAAACAATATGTTAGCTTCACTGGTATCTTGCGGAGAATTCATGAAACACCTTGGTAGCGGTGGTACTTCCATTCTTTATCTACTACCCTGTCCTTTTTATTAATTCTCCCGAGAGCGAGTCATCCCAGCCAAGTCCTGCAATCTACTTTTGTCAACGGGAAATCTTCGCTCCGATGATAAATGGTGTTGGAACTTCGATTGGATCTAAAAACATGGCAATCTCTCCCAGAAAGTTCCCTTTGAAAAATACAAAACCACTTTCAAATGCATTTGCTTTGAACGTAAAAACGTTATCTTCTGTCAGCCACATTGGTCATGGTTGGAATTAGGTCCTTGCCGCCGCGATTCTTCTCATGCATTTTTGTTTTTCAGAAACAATTTTCGATGGGCGTAACCGAAAGGAATAAAAAAATTTCAACAATGTGACAAATTAATGGAGAAGACAAAAAAACGACTAACACAATCCGTTGTGGACGCACCTTACTTCTCGTAAACACCTTAACAACATCAGTGAGATAGCGTTTACGTATTGGTGTGGTTTGGGTTCTAATTAAATGACCTCATTTAAGAAGACACCCTCGTGCTGTATCTTGGGAATGCGTCACACATTGTGCGAGTTTGAGACTGTCCGTTCGGTTGCACAACAGGAAAACGTGGTAGGTGCACTTTATCAATAGTATAGGCAGTCTTACGAACATAGCCTCCCGTAGTATCAGTTAATGTTGTTTGAGTAAACTTCAGCAATCTGTGGGTCTTACAAAAGCCGTTTGTTTGTGTTCATCAGTCTTTTGTGGCTTTAAAATTCTCAAGCAGATCTGGTTTGTCCCTCTCGCCAACCACAAAATTAAAGCTATGGGGGAGAGGCCTCCAAAAAGGCGTACAGAAACTCCAACGCTGTAAAGACAGCTCTGGAAACTACCTTTCTCTGAGATCGAAATCTTAGATGAAGGCGTTACGAGACAGCAGTGTGCGTTTACCACGCAGCGAGAAATTCTAGCGTTTAAGTTGATCCGTTGGAGAAAACACTCCGCAAAGAGAAGTCTCGGTGACCGCCAAATTATGAAATTCTAGCCTGAGGTCGATTACGCCGTCGTACTTCTCTCTTTTACGTAAATATTAGAGCAAAACCAAGAGAGCCAATGCCAAAGTTATAGGGTGGAGATGTAAAGGCCTGTCGCCAGACTTAAGCGTATTTACTTCTTAAGAGACAATAAGAAATTGGCAAATTACTTTGGAGATTATGGAACAGAAAAACAGATGAGTTTTCATTAATCCTCCTGTTATGAGTCCTGAGGATCAGTGTTTAGTGCAACGGAGAGAGTTGAGAAGTTCTTTATATATTTCGATGGCAGTGCTACTGAATGATGTGGTAGTGTGTGCTCTCTCCGATGGCTCCCCTCTAGCGTTTAAGGAAGAGAGATAACCATTCAACTCTTTCCTTTATCTACAGTATCAGCTTTTTTGTTGTCTTCAGTCCTATCTGTTTCACTGTGATTCCCTAGCCTTGGAGTATGATCCGGTTAATTCTAAATAACTAGCGCCAAGACGCTGTCTAGCGTTCTCCGTAAGACTATCTGTAAATGTTTGTAAGAAACTTGAAAATCACGCTGCAAAATACACAGTCGTGAACGTAAATTCACGGCCGAAACCGGCAAAACAACGAGATGTTTAAAAGAGGAGCATCGAGTGACAACCGAGGCAAGCCTCAAGATATTAGCAATCAGCAAACCGTAAAGAGGATGTGGAGTAACAATTATTCTCCTTTTACATCAAAGAATTTGCAACACAAGATTGTCCTACTTTTAAAGTAGAGTCGCACCCCTACCTATGGGATGTCAATATTACAAATATATGCCTTGCAAAAATAGAGAAAATCTGCAACACTCAAGAAAGGAAAGGAGACTGCCCACTCTGCTCTCCACATGTAAGTCCAACACTGAAAGAACATAGCCTGAAAAGACCATATGAGCTGTAGTTTACACCGGTTGTCATAGTTAAGAGTCACACAAAACAAGCCTAAAACAATAAATACCTCGGTGTCAAGTAAGTTTACTCACAGTTTCTCCTTTGTAGACTTGAGAAGAGTTTTTAGTTCCCTTCCACCCATGATTCGAGGTGCTACTGGTTTCACAGAGTGTGACTGATGGCACTTCATACTTGGTAATAGTTGTTCTTGTTGTAACGAACTGGATCTTTTGCGTGATCAATTTTTCCCTGCGTGACATAACCAGCCTTGCCTTTCCGGGATGGAGAACTGTCAAGGAAAAGCTGTGATTCTGTGCCAGTATTGATGAGATTCTTTCTGTGTCATTCTGCTGAAGAAGGTTCAGTGCAACTTTTCTAAACATGAAACAGCTTGTTTGCTCATCTTTAAACGTCACCTGAGTAATCCTCTGACACATTGATGTTTCTATCTCAAAGATTGTCTTTTTATGGGGTGTGTCATTGCTTGAAAGTTCTGATAAACAAAGAGGTAACAAATCAATACGACTGTCTGTACACAAGATGTCTTGGAGGCCACATGATACTGTTGGAGTTAAATCCAAAATGACCTGCATCGCGTGGCTTTTGTTTTCAGCTTCAAAGCACGTTCTTTGAAAGCACTCTTGTACCGCAAGCGTGATCTTTTCCTTTAGAGAATGAAGGTCATCGACATCTAAAAAGACCGGTGATTTGCTGGCCACCAGAAAAGCATTTCTGGGTGCATTTTCCATGTACGCCAGGCTGCGAAACAGCTGTGTGTCCGCGGCATCGCCTTCCACGTCGCTCGCGTTCAGACCAATTTCAGAGAAAATGAGAATATCTTGTAAAGCTGTTTTCCCATTACAGGTGATTACAGTTCTTGAAGCATAAACCTGAATCCCATCGAGGAGCAAAAATGGGGAATCCGTTTCGTTTTGAAAAAGTTTGCAATATAGATCATAGGCTTCAAAGGTGGTTTCGATCATTTTTCGCTCTATGCAGAACAGCAGAAGAGAGATAAGCACAGGCCTCAAGTCTAGATTAATGTCAGACTCCACCGTTGGCGTAGCTCCAGAAGTTTCTTCCACGATGCTCTCAGAACTTCTTTCTTGTATGACTTTGCCAAGGGCTTTCATAAAGTCTCTCAAGTTGCGGTCTAGTTTTAATGTCTCTTGACGTTTAAATTTCTTCCGAAGGAATATGTTGTGTAGGCGTGCGACACTCACATCAGGGTGAGCTTGGATTGCATGCACTCCACAATGCATGTCTGCTTGTTGGAAAAAAATGACAGCTTCCTTTATCATTCCATAACGGAGAAGCTTTCGTCCACTCTTAAGAAAATCTAATGAACATTTCAAAGAGAGGGTCGACCTCGATATTGAGCAGAGACGTGTCATTTTCTTCACGGTGACCTCTTTTCCATCAGCTATGCGTTTCCTCAAGTGACTGTTACTGTCGTGGTTTAACAGTATGGCCAAGACATGCCCATACTCGGCGACCAAACCTTCAATTCCATCCTCTGATACTCGCTGCCTTTGAAAGGTTTTGTACCCGCCAATAATTTCCATGTACTTAATTGACAATTCCTCCACAAAAGACACTTGGAAAATGGCTTCTATGCTCTCAGCGGCTCTCTGATAGTAAACGTAAGATCCATCTTTTTGACCCAGTATCGATTTCAAGTCACCAAGATACAGATAGCACTTGAGAAGGAGGTGATTTTTAACGCCGAAGATCTGTTGCAGAATGTGACTGGAACTCTCGAACTTTGCAGCGGCGCTGGGGAATTCTCCAGCAAGACTCAAAATTTTGCCTTGTTTGTACAACAGGAAGGCAAAGTTGAAATGATCTTCTCCAAACACACTCTTAAGGATTTTTAAGGATGTTTGCAAGAGCTTCAAAGCAGTTTTGATTTTTCCTTTGCAGATGTAGACCGCTAATAACTTCTCAAGAGCTACGATTCTCACGTTCATGTAAAGGTTTCCAAACCTGTCAACAACATCTTCAAGTGAATTCAAAGTTTCAATGCTAAACACTTCATCAGCCTCCTTTGGTTTGCCATGAAGGAGCAGAACTTCAGAAAGATGCAAACGAAGGAAAGTTACCAGATACACAGAGTCTTTCCTATTCATTTCTTTGCAGTAGGTTATCAACCACCTCAATGCATTTTCTGCTCTGTTGAAGTCCCCAAGGGTGGTATGCAACACCGCCTGATTATTCATTACCGTAAATACCACTTCAAATGGATATGGTACATCCTTTCTTTCTGTAGCTTGGCAGATTTTTACCAATTTCTCTTGTTGTTCAAGGGCTTCGCAATACTTTTTAGAAATCAGATTTAACCGGCTCATGTTGTTATTTACAGCAAAAACTTTTATTTCAGTTGACGAGCTCTCCGAGTGACAAAATTTTTCAAGGGAAGTTTTAAAAGCTTCTTCTGCCTTTAGAAAATCGCCCATAATGAGATGAACACACCCCATGTTGTTGTGGGCAGCACCAAGGTCTTGTAAACGACCAGTTGTCTTGGATTGGTGATGCAATTGGAGCAGCAGGTCAAATGTCTTTTGCGCAATTTCAAATTCGGAAATAAGCAATGCAAATGCTGCCAAGACGTTTAGCAATCCAGAGTAAAACTGTGCTCCACTAGTAATTGAATCTAAGACTAAAGTTCCGTGTTTTAACTGTGCTCCACGACTACTTGAATCTAGGAGTAAAGTTCCGTGTTTTATTGAACAACTCACGCCCTCCTCCAGAAAGTGTTTTCTTCCACGCCTTAGTACCTCCAAGTCATACTTCGTTGGATCCTTAAAACAATGTGCTTGACTTTTGGTCAGTATTTGGAAAAGATCTTCTACCCTTCTACGCGCACTGACAATCTCGTCACTTTGGTGGTAAACAATGGCTTCATCAAGTATTCGAACAGCAATGTCCGTGATATTTCGAGAAAATACGTCATGCCCCTGAAAAACCATGTTAGGACTTAATCGATTAACTGTGACTGATTCAGCGCAGGATGGTTGCGCTAGAATTTCCCCATCATCCTCCGTGCCTCCACTGTTACTCTCTGCCCCAGTGTCCCGATTTTGCACTTGCAAATCGTTTTCGCGCATTTGACACGAGTTTTCAGGTCGTGTTTTCTTTTCGGTGGGTGGAGCTTCATTAACCCTCCGGGTATACTTGACTTGGCTGTTGTGCGCTGATGGAAAATATTCCAGAAAAAAATGTGTTATTTCAAAGTGTTACTTTACTACTTAAAAGGTACCTTCTTTGGATCAAAAGCTTACACACACGCATCAGAACTGACTGACGAGTGAGGCTGACTTATGAAATTTTAATCTAGTACACTTCTGTACCTAACTCATTTTAAATCAGAACATAACTTAGACACAACGCTCCCTCTTATTGGTCAAAAATCTATTGTTTGTTTGCCAGTGAACCCATAAAAATTGAAATATCATCGCGTCTTGTGTAATGGCACCACACAGGGCGAATTCCCAGATATTAATTTGTTAAAATCCTTTAATTTGGAGCAAACGAAAAGGTCACTTTAAACGCAAAAAATAACGACTATTTATTCTTCTAACACTAGCAAAGTTTATACTTAAAATGTAGTCTGACTGACTGGTTGCTCCGTGTTAAGAGCGAATTTTTTTCAAGACCGCGTGAGAGTTGGTACATGCATCGACAGAAAAATGACTTTTCTCATATTTCAGTCAGAGACACCTTATAGTGAACATATAAACGTGGTAAGGTTTTTTTCCCCAGACTTTCTTCTTTCTCCTAGAAAACTGAAACGAGCGTGGGTAGCCGTACAATGGCGGAGATTAGTGCCCCGAGTAGAGGCAAATGAACTTTTCCCAAGAAAACTGCAAAAGGAAACTGCAAAAGAAAGCAAGCTCGTATCAATTTTATGAATTTGTATAGGAAGGATTGAAGTATGGTTTTATTCTAAAACGGAACCATTTCATTTAATTTGGAGCTCACGGAACGCATTCAAAAATCACCAATTTTTAAAAATCCAACTATCGCATTTCGCAGCAGAGTTGCAATTATAATTTTCCCCATGTGGTATAACTCAGAATCGGTTCAAGTTAAGCTCATGATAAGTGGAAATAGTTTTGTTTTTTAAGGATATAAAAATCAATTTTAGGCTTTTGATTTCTGCTCGGAAAAACCAGGCTGAGCTTCGCGAAAATCACAATATCACAGCTCACAGCTCGATCAGGAAATGAATACAATAAGCTAGCCTTGCATAGCTTAAGACGACAGATTGATTTTTATCTCTACTTCCGTTTCAAATTCTCATCCATTTCCTATGGCGAAAGTGTTTACAATATCACGTTGCGTAAGCTAGCGGAGGGCGTCTGTTTTTCTTAGCATATTCGAACGCATTTAAGCTTTTTAAGAACGTTCTTGGGTAAAATTGAGCTTAATAGTGGAATTAGAAGAGGACACTTCAATCATTTAAAGCGGTAGGTCAAATATTCTTTGCCGAAAACGTTGAAGACGGGAAGCAATCTGATACTAGTGTAGATGAAACACTCAAGCGTTTGTCACTCAGTGAAGAAATCATTTCAATCTTGTTACCATCTTGTAATTTTACGGCCACGAATATCCGTGGATAAGATTTTTAACAAACTTGTCAGTATGATAATTTTTCTTATCAGTCAGTTATCGCTGTGAGACTTGTTAACTTCGAAGCGGGGATCTCATGCAGAATTGAATGTAACTGAGTGATATCACGTACTTAGAAGAGCAAAAAAGCAGAAGACAAAACAACAAATAGCTATAGCAGAGCAAAGGAAAGAGAGGAAATAATTATGATAAAAAAGATTAAGGTTAGGATCAAAAGTCGGAGTAAAGACGAAACAGAGGCAAAGTACAAAATGAATAAAGGCTGATAGTTTCTATAGAAACTCTTTGGGGCTGCGTCGGTGGGGGTAACGAAATAATTTCAATATATCAACAAAGTTGAAATGGTAAATTGGCCACCGTTACGATTATAAAAGCTGACGTTTCAAGCGCTAGCCCTTCGTCGGAGCGAATAGAGGAATTGTGAGTTGTGTGTGCTTTTAAACACGAAGGCGCGCTATATAAGGAAGTCTTCCCTGGGAAGACCTAGGCTCATTTGTCACTCACCGTTGACGTGTGCGGGTCAAATTTAAATGCTGGTAGACGAACAAAAGGAGCTAATGAGATATCTATTGTTTACTTCCACCAGCATGGTGGCATGAGGTAACGTGCGAACCACCTACTTCGATCTCAAATTTACTGCCACAAATAAAGACAGTTTCCACTGGAGAAAGGAAATACAAATCTCAAAAATTCTTGTATTGTGATGAAGACATAAAACAATTTTAAGGAATGCTCCCACTGTTCAATAAGTGCAAGTTATGCAATAGATTACATTGGCGGAGGTGCACGTGAAGTACAAAATGATTGAAATAGGAGAAGAATACCAAGGTGAGAACTGAGGATAAATGTATAATGAACGGTGTACTATTTGAAATCACTAGTACAAACAAAGAATCTTAGCTGAGTTGAGAAAGTTCTTCCCAAATTGAGAGTTTTAGTCACAAAACTCACGTAAATGGCAAGCAATCTTTTCAGGCATTGGTTGGGCTGGAAACTCTTCGCAAACTAAAACAACTGTGTCCAGAAATAAGCTATGCTTTTGATACTTCAGCTAATGTCGTGCCGTAAAGTCTTTTCTGAACTCCTGAAGGCTGTCAGCAATACTGATGTTGATGCCATTCTAGATTTCATTTTAGATCGAGCGCCAATTCTTAACACACCTTCCAGCAATCGGACTAGATCAACTGTTCAGGATATCATTGTTCTTTAGGCGTTGGATTAAGGAGAGGGTCACAAAAATGCGGTGCACTCGAGAAGGGTTATCCAACCACGTTAAAGGAATAACGTGCTAGGCTGATCGCAGAATTAAAAAGACATTTTTTTAAAAACATTTTCTAGCTAACCCTTTTTCAGGTTTTCTTTCCTAAAAATTATTATTTCGAAGATGTTTTCCAAAGCGCCGGTCTAGTCAAACTGCCAAAATGGCACGGCACGTTGTCCAAGATTTTCTTTACATTTGCTGTTTGCTTGCAGAGACTTCACGAGGCAGCCTTCTTTATTATGGAGGCTGCGCTAAGGAAGACAAATAAGCAGTTGCCACAAAGAATAACTTCTTACTAACTTAGTACGAGGGCCGTACTGAGGATTGTTAGCCCGAAATCGTGGCAGCACGGAACGAGCGCAGCGGGGTCTGTACAGAAACGACCGAGGGCCAATATTTCCCAATACAGCTTGAGCAAGTGATGTTTCATTAATTTTTTTAATCTTGTGGCTTTCGTGAACAAAAATACGCGGTCTGAGATTGCTTCCGTGGAAACGGTCCGTATGGTAAAATCCCGACCAAGCAAGACCTAGAAGAACGCTCGGATTTACCATAAGACTCTCTTGCCTTATTGTAAGTTGTTCTTCTAGCTCGAGGCCTTTTCTTCGAAATTTTATCATATACTTACTTTTTTTTTTTGCATGTCCTTGCAACCTTTTTACCTCATGCTGGCGTATTTCTGCTCGAGATTCATCGTAGACAAAGAGTCATTTGTGATCACAAGTTTGTCTTTTTTATGTAGGTGTACATGTGGTCGTTAACTCAATCGAATTCTTTTGCTTAGCGTATTAATTGACATTGTTTTTTACTCTAAAAAAGTGTTGAATCGGTGTCAGTGACGTTATACACCGATTAATTCGCAGCATCACATCTAGGGCAGCCGACGGGCTTTAGACTGTCGCGTTTAGCCTTACAAAGGTGGAGAAGGGAATCTGAACCGGAAGGGTCAAGTCTTTCCAGTGGTATACTGGTGGTTTGTCTTTAGTATAGAGGCACTTAAAGCGATTGGCTCAGAAGAATCTTCAGGTATGGTCTACAAAGTCCAAGTTTTGAAGCTTGAATGGTCAAATCAACTGCTGGTCGATAAATAGAAAGTCACGGTCGTTGATCTTGTCTTTTACAACTAATGTGAGAATCAAATGAGGATCTCTATGCGAAGAAGGCTTTGATGGTTAACGGTTGCAATTTTGGCAATTGTATACGGCTAACGCCAAATATTTTAAGGTTAACCTTTTTTTTGCCACTGACGGTTAAAATTTGTCAGTTTTTACGTCAAACAGCTATTTTTTTTGGCCGTTTTACGGCTCACGGTTAACTCCATTGAGACCCTCTAAGATCTAGCACTTGCGCAGGGCATTTGAACATGATTTAGGGGAGCGGGAACCATTCGTCAAAAGTTAAAATTCCTGAGGGGAGGTGACGTTGAAGTTTCAATTGATCAACGCATCATAATTTGTATCTCTGCTTTTCAGTGAAACACTCTTCCAAGGTAAAATTATCTTATGAACAAGTGTTATTGACATATCATTATCCGTGAATTTCGGGGCCGAAAAACCGCAAGAGGGTAAGACGAAAATATTTCTCTGTAACTGGAATAATTTCAGCCTTGCGCGCCAAACGCTTGAGTACGTTACATCTACAGCAGTATCAGCTTGCTTCCCGTCTTCAACGTCTTCGGCAAAGAATATTTGACCTACCACTATAAATGATTGAACTGTCCACTTCTAATTCCACTATTAAGCTCAGTTTTAGCCTAGAACTTTCTCAAAAAACTTAAATGCGTTCGAATATGCCAAGAAAAACAGACGCCCTCCGCTAGCTTACGGAACGTGATATTGTAAACAATTTCGCCATAGAAAATGGATGAGGATTTGAAACGAAAGCAGGGATAAAAACCAATCTGTCGTCGTTAGCTATGCAAGGCTAGCTTAGTGCATTCATTTCCTGATCGAGCACGATGTTAACTGCTAAAATGTGCTCGGAATTCCGGAGTTAACCATAGGGTACCTAATTAGATTATGTCGTGACATAACTGCCGATATTGAGAGTTTCACAAAATTCAGCCTGGTTTTACCGAGCAGAAATGAAATGCCCCAAATTGATTTTTATATCCTCAAAAACAAAATTATTTTTACTTATCATGAGCTTAACCTGAACTGACTCTGAATTATTCCACACGGGGAATGGAGATTCCTAGGCGTGGGAAATTCTATAAGGGTCCCGGCTTAAAACACTTCAGACATTTTCCATGTGCTCACAACAACCTTTAATATTAGTTCCAATCCCCACACGGGGTGACG